TTACATCATATATAATAAAATAATATTTTTTATAATTATTAAAATATACCTACACTTGGCCGGTTTTATACTTTCAATTTAAAGCTTTAATGCTTGCCAACCCCACAAGGAATATGCATATGGGTGACAGAGACATACCTTTATATAGGAAGAAGTTCATGTGACAAAAAAAATCGAAAGCAGAATAAAAGAATGAAATAAAAATGTCATATTTAAATTATAGTAATTTATCCTCAAAAAACACAATTGGTAACCTAACTTAATCCTTAGGTTAACCCAATTGTATTTTTAGGTGATCATTTATAATTTGAGGATCATTTAAATATTTCGCATAACAAAATATCAAAACTGAAATAGTGTAAATATTTTTGATTTGAAAAAAGAGGCTTGGGCTGGAGAAACTATTGAAGAAGTTAGTTAGAAGCCTATGTGAGATAAGCTATGTCAGCAGAACATCCTGTACCCTTAGTACGAGTTTTACAACAACGAAAACTATGATAGTTTTCGTGAGCTTGCACTCGTAGGTACTAAGGGTACTGATTTTATTGTTTTTGTTTCAATACAAATAAACAGTGTTTATATTCTATCATTAAATCATTTGCGTCTTCATAAATTTTAAGTATATTTGATTACTTTTCACCAAAATGGACATAGAAACATAATTTACAATTCGAAAACTATGATAGTTTTCATAAGAACATTCAAAAACCTTATTCAAATGGTTAGAGAAAAGGAAAAATTACGGAAGAGACTAAAGCTTTATAATAATCCTGTAGATGATTTTGAGTTCAAAGAGGCAAGATATAGATGCCATTTACTAATAAAAAAATGTTACCGTCGATATTTGTATAATATTGAAAACTCTATTAGCAAGAATAATATTAAAGCCTTCTGGAGTTATGTGAAAAACAATCGCAAGAAAGCCGTTGCGATGCCCTCTGTAATGCATTTGGATAATACGAAGTTTGATACTCCTCAGTCAATTTGTAATGCCTTTGCACAACACTTCTCATCGGTATACGTGGCTAATGATCCTGCTATTCTAATGCCACACGTTGGCAGTACATCTTATGACAATAATAATTCCCTTTCTAATATATACCTGTCGGTAGAATGCATTGAAAAAGCAATGAAGAATCTTGATCCAAGGAAAGGTCCGGATGGAGTGCCAGCCGTATTCCTAAAAAACTGTGCTTCTTCTCTATCATATCCGCTAAATATTATTTTTAATAATTCTTTATCTACTGGTGTTTTTCCGTTAGTTTGGAAATGGGCTAATGTCTTACCAATTCCTAAATCAGGAAATACGAGCGACGTGCGTAATTATAGACCTATTTCCTTATTATCTAGTTTTCCTAAACTGTTTGAAAAATTAGTGTACCCATATTTTACAAATCATCTTGGATCCATCCTCGTTCCTCAGCAGCACGGTTTTCGTCAAAAGATGTCTACAATTACAAATCTGACATGCTATGTAAATGAATTAAGTTTTGAACTGGATCAGGGTCGACAGGTGGATGCGGTGTACACCGATATAAGTAAAGCATTCGATAAGGTTAATCACTCTATAATGCTGAAGAAATTATGCATGGCAGGTGTTCACGGCTCTTTGTTAGACTGGTGTCATTCTTATCTTTCTGAGAGATATCAAAAAGTAGTTACTTGTGGATATGAATCTGATTATATTCTGGTTTACTCAGGAGTTCCTCAGGGATCACATTTGGGACCTCTCTTTTTTCTAGCATTTATAAACGATCTGGTGCGAGTTATTAGGTACTCAAGTTGTTTATTGTTTGCCGACGATCTTAAAATATACAAAACTGTCCAAAATTCCAATGATGCTGAGCTTTTACAAAAAGATCTGGACCTAATAGCGGCTTGGTCACACGCAAATATGCTTCCTTTTAATCCTGACAAATGTAAGCATATAAAATTCACTAAGAAACGATTTCCGGTTAAGTCTGCATATTCTATAAATTCCCAAGTTCTTGAAGAGGTATCGTCCATTCAAGATCTCGGTATTGTTTTGGTTAAAAAATTACTTTTCACTCATCATTTTGACCATATTATATCTAAGAGTTTAAAAATGCTGGGATTTCTTTGGCGTAGTTGTAAGCGGTTTAAAAATGTTGAAGCATTGAAACTTCTATACTTTGCTTTGGTACGCAGTTCCTTGGAGTATTGTTCTGCTATTTGGAATCCTCTTTATGAGTGTCATAAAAGCAGAATTGAAAGAATCCAAAAAAAGTTTTTGTCTTTTCTAACTAGACACCAGGGAAAAAGATATGAACTCATCTCATATAAGGATAAATTGGAGTATTTCGTGTTGGTTTCATTGCGGAAACGCAGATGGGTTGCTGATCAGATTTTACTGTATAAAATTCTGAGAGGTAACATTGATTGTCCTCAACTTCTTAGTGAAATTAGTTTTAATATACCACAACCAAATTTCAGACCAGTTAACTATAAATTATTTAATTTAAAAACTTATAAAACCAACCTGGGTACGCAGAGTGTTTTAAATAGGATTTGTGAAGAACACAATAAAATCTGTACTGGGTCCTTGGTAGGCGTTGATTTGTTCGCTGCGTCATTGATTGCATTTAGGAGGGCTTTGCTATCGAGCATTGATTGTGGCACTTGATTATAGTTTAGTTTTATGTATGTTTTGTTTTATACCTAGTTTAGTTTTATATCATTAATTTTGACAGAAATAAGAGTTGTGTATGCCTGTAACTGTTTTTGCACAACTCTATGTATAACGTATGTTTTTTTTAATTTTGTTGGGTGTAAAAATGTTGGCATGCCTGATAAATAAATAAATAAATAAGCTCAAACTCGTACTAAGGGTACTGATGGATTTTCTGTGTTAATTTATCCATTTGCTATCAGCCCTATGGCTATAATCCTACTAATTTTACAGATGGGAAAGTTTGTATGTTTGTTACTGAATCACGCAAAAATTACTGATTGGATTTTGATTAAATTTGATACATATATAGTTTTTGACCTGGATTGTGACATAGGATACTTTTATTTCTGGAAAAATGTTAAGTTCCTGTGGGATTCATCCAAATAACTAAAGTTAACGCGCACGAAGTCGCTGGCTGCCGCTAGTATAATATAATTTAAACAATTGAAGATTTTTCAAGAATTTTGCGAACAAATACACCCAGTAATGTTAGATTGTGTCATCTCATATAGAATATTGCCTTAGATAGAAGCTATTTTTTACCCGAATGCGCAATGCAAGAACGGGAAGCGCGACGCGCAGACAGGGTAGTGTTTAACAGTCTATTGTCCTCTTTAATCAACATTTTGTGTCATTAGTATTCGTAGTAGTTTATAGACTAGTTGATTATTATATCATTCTTAAATTTTTATCTGTGATCCCTGCAGGATTTATGTACTTTTTTTTACAGTAGGAAATCTATGTATTTTTGTGCTCCATGTATTTGTAATATGCTATAGAGAAATGCACAACATTTTTAATGCTTTATTTTGAAATCTTTGAAATATTTTCATGTTGGAATGACTTGCTGAGCAGAGCTCTGTACTTGTTTTATACTATTCCCACACTAGTTATACAATGCTTTTATAAATGAGGAGCTTATCCTCCAAGCTGAGTGAAGACAGTCTACCATCCAGGGTAAGGTCAAATCAAATAAGAGGAAGCAGTAGTAGTGATTTAGGAAAAACTTGTTTGATTTGAATATTACAAACTGGAAACATGTGACACCACCTATACATTTTAAAATTAACTCATGTCTACTTTTTAATCATAAAATGTTTAATATTAATAAATATCATTGGAAAATGAGATTGATTTTTTCGCTGTTGTTTAAATATAGTTTTAAAAACCACTATGTAGTTTGTTGTAGTTACTGTTGTGAAAATTATAAAACAAGCATAATTGTTGTGCTCTATCCCATTAATACTATATTATTATAAAAATAAATATGCTGTAACCACAAAATTAATTATATTTATATTACCAGAAAAAAGGTATTCATGCAATCAACAACTAGGTATAACAAAAAAAATTATACGAAACAATTACACGCAACAATATTAAATACCCTAGATTCACCATGTGCACTCAATATGTGTCCCAATCAAGAAGTGTTTGAACGCGACTCAAGCACTTCTTTGTTCACAGTCACTTGTGAACCGTTGAAAAGCTCAGTGAAAAAATGTAAAAATATGTATAGTACCTACGTAACGTACGTAATAATATATACGCATGTAGGTAGGACAGCAAAACAAATGAAGGCCGAAAGTCGGTCGCGTGCCGGAAGGGGCAAAGGGCCTTTTGCTGCAAATCGGGGTATAAAAAATTGCCGATTGTCGGCCTGTGGCCGCCTGAGAGGTTATCATACTAGGAAAAACGTTAATGAATAATAATAAAAATGATGGACCATAATACTGCCCTGCAGCATACCCCTTTCATTCAACAATAATTCTTCTTATAATTTTTTTTTTGTTTCTTTAACGATTCTCTGTATTTCAGTGCATTGCATTCTGCCCTTCAAATAACTATGAATCCAGTCATATGCTTTACCTCTAATGCCATATAATTCAATCTTTTTTAGTAGTACTGAGTGATCAACAAAATCAAATGCTTGCGACATGTCAAGAAATACTAATATTACTATATTTTGGTTAAGATTTTCAGTAACACACTTTAATAATTTAAAACCAGCAAGTGTAGTTGATCTTCCTTTACGAATGAAGAGAATGATAATGGATTCTCCTGTCTGATTCATTGATATTATCATAATATACCCAAATATGCTGATAGAAAAAAAAACTGTAAAGGCAAATCAGTAGCAACAAATTAAGATCTACTTAAAGGTTTTAACATCCTTTTGGGCTATTGAAATAAAGTAGTTAATAAAAACTAAGTATTACTTCCTACTGAATGATTTTTATATTATTACAATAATAAAGCTTGTAAATTATTGTAAACTGATATTTTATGAATAGAATACAGGACTTACTTTTCGGTAAGATATTGTGTGGTCCAGTACAACACTTCACCGGGTAATTCCGATTCGGTAATTGTGTATCCTGCTATATGAACTGGTAGTTGGTCCTCGGGATTAACAGTGGCCGCAAAGTTTTCGAAAAACACTCTATAGGCTGTTAAATAATCCTCTTTATCACCCATTTTTTACACTTTAACTGGGTCACCAGAATATACAGGAACAAATCAGAATCGATCAACAAACCTCTGGTGACTATGAATGCCCAGATTTTAAATAGAAACTTAATACAAATTAAACTGAAACAAAATCTAGCACAGTCGAATTTAATTTGTACTTAACATAATATCACTTATACTTAATAATGAAATATTTTTACAAATATTAGTAAATTTTCAAAACATTTGTAAAACAGATCACATCTCACTAACACATGACATGACACTTCTATTATCCAGTTGCCAAACTTAGCCGAAGCAAAATGCCAATAATTTTGGAAAAATATGACAAAAAACTTTTAAATAAATCATTATCGAATCTGTAATATACAAGTAAATATCATAAATACAAGTCATAAAGCTGGATAACGCCTATATTTTGTCGCAAATATTAGTGCAAGCAATAATTTATTATTCGTATTTACTATTTGTAAACATGGCAACAGTCTGACTTTTTCATGCTTTCTTAGGGAAGAGAAGGACAAAATGATGTCAAGTTTACAGATACCAAACACGAATAGTCAAGTGAAGTGCCGGCAATGGATGCAAGTGCAAGCGTAAAATTGTATTGATGTAAAACCCAATGTCATTATATTTGAATGAAAATATTTAATAATTTATTTAATCAATATCATTAATCAGGACTAATCTTGCACATTCTCATTCTGTTAATCCATATAAACTGAATTATATTGAAATTAGTTAGGTATTTCTGTTGTTAGTTTAGTCTAGTAAAGGTCCTTTTTTGTCTCTAAAGGCAATAGTATCTATTTTTTAATTACTATTTTTAAGCAGGAACATTGTTGCTACAGCAGAATTTGAATGGGTCAGCTTAATTAATGATTCAGTTGTAATTGTGTAATTGATTCAGTTGGAAGCATAAAGTTTGTCTTTTCTGTTTAATTTAGGCAGAAAAATCCGTACAAATACCGATAAATCCGTTTAAATGGCAACACTGCTTCTGTCTATGGGTACGGCCAGAGTGCACTCAGATTCAGATTCAGATTCAGACACAGAAAACAAGCGCGAGAAATATACAGTGTAGTTTAAGCAGGTTGCCTGCGGCCACTATGGCCACCCTGCTTTAACTACACTGTTTATTTCTCGCGCTTGTTTTCGGAATCTGAATCTGAGTGCACTCTGGCCGTACCCTATCAACGCAAAAACCGCAACAAATAAACACACCCGTAACCATAGACTACAGTAGTATGCCCCTTTAGAGTATATGCCTAATAAGGGCTATACACGTCACAACGGTCGCATGGACCGTCGCACGGACTTCTATTGGTCGTAGAGGGGACTGTACGACCAAGGTCATGTCGCTGAATCGTTGAAATATTTATCGAACCGCGGTTCGATTGACGGTCTGCGCGACAGTTTAAATGTGAATGGGCCCTTTAAGGTATATGCCCTAAGGTATACCCGGAACCTCAGAATATTATAGTCATTATTCAGAGCCCGAAATCAGGAAAGTTATATAGGTACCTAAGGTTACCGTTAGGTAAATAACTTTCAGTCCAAGAATTGAAGCATTTCACCTCGCAATTTTTACGTCCTGTATGTATTAAACTACTTGACCGTCACTGAAAGCTTTATATTGAGATAGCACTTCCGTTTCCCGTCGAATTACCATCAGTTTCCGTACTTTTATTCACCTTATATCCGGTCCAGTGGCGACACCTGGCAGAAGCGCGGCCATTTTTGTTTTCCTAAGTTTTGACAGCGCCATATTAACTCATTGGCGTTCTGACTCCCGTCGAAGCAACACGTCCTCAATCTGAGCGATCGTTGTGAGGTTTTAATGGTTTTATTCTTATTAAGTGATAAAACTGTAAGTAAAACTATTTTATTTTTGACGGTTTTTGCCGTTCGTGTTATTCCAAATAGGTACTTTACGTGTCAAAAGTGAAGGAATCGTAAGTAAAACTATTATTCTTTTTGATAGTTTTTGCAGCCCTTGTGATAAGGGATATTTAAAACAAATATGTTAAATTGTGCAATACGCTTGTTTGAAAAAGTAATAATAAGCCGTGAGTAAAACTTAACGGCAATTCAAGGTGCGTTTTGTTTAAAAAATTAAAGTACCTACATTAAAGTAAATTTTGCAATACTTTACGTCTGTCTTGGTCGTTTATCATAAAAACTGTTTTAAGAGTGTTTTCTCTTGGTACTCAATTAATGTTTCCGTATAAGTAAATGTGAAAGTAAATTGGTAAATGTATTACAAAATACTTAATTAAATTGTTTTACAGTTTAGTGAAGGAATATCGGTCAATATTGACTTTTTAGCCGCCGACTGACTGGCATTATTGGCAAAAACAGCAAGATGTGTGGATCTAGTCATTATTGTTCTTCGAACAGCTGCAGTAAAAATTGGTTGAATTTGTCGTCTTCTGGTATAACGAAAGTGACATCGCTGACTCAAGAAAAATAAGCGAGCTTGATATTCCAGCCCTTTTATTAAAATATTGTTCGAGGGGTAAGTGAACTATGTACAATCTTAATAAGGTATTTCTAATGTCGATATGCCGTTTTCTGAACATGGCCAGCTATCAATATCTAAAGGCTTATGAATAAAAAGTTCTAACATTTTTACTGACCAATACACGTAATAAAAATTCTCATATGAGTCGTGTGACTAAACTAGGATAAAGGAACGCTCTGTTCGAAAGACATTCAACGTTTATTTTAAATGATATGCTGACGTAAATTAAAAATTATAATCATAGTCCAGGCTTTATCAACCTGGAAACAAACAACGAGGTAAAGAAGTATGATGATAATTTATGATATATCACGTTCCTGACATTAATTTTCTTTCAGCAATTGTATATTTCTAAAATAAAAATGAATCATTGCGGGAAGGCACCTGCTCAGTTAATTTTAATAACGAAAGTGATAAGATAACAGAATCGTTTCTTAGGTCTTTTACAGCTAGCACAAAGCTAAAAAGTAAAAACTAAAGCACTGCAAGAAGTTAGTGATCTCTGTGATGAAGCACCACTTAATAAGATACCATCTATGAGGTTGTTTTTATAGTATTAAGTAAGTATTTGTCATGGATTTAAGTGATTGACATTTCATCAACCTAATGAGCAACTAGCGCAGAGGCAAGTGATATTCATAAGCTTCATCTCATGAAGCCCAAGGCGTGTCAGGACATGCCCTCCCATGGCGTACCTACACATATGAGTACCGGTGGCAAATCACCCTCGCGGGGTGCATATTATATATAATTTGTTTCCACTACGTGGAATCTTATTAAATGCCTCTAATGCCTTGCCTACATATACGAGTACCGGTGGCAAATCACCCTCGCGGGGTGAATATTATGTACAATTAGTTTCCACTACGTGGAACCTTATGAACTGCCTCTAATGCCTTGCCTACATATACGAGTACCGGTAGCAAATCACCCTCGCGGGGTGCATATTATATACAATTTGTTTCCACTACGTGAAACCTTATGAAATACCTCTAATGCCTTGCTTACATATACGAGTACCGGTAGCAAACCACCTTCGCGGCGTGCATATTACCAAAACTCTGATGACCGCCCCTCGCGGGGGCATATTATGTATAATTTGCTTCCTCCGTATGGAACTCATTATGAATAAGGACTTGCCTTCCATGGCTTGCCTACATATACAAGTATCAGTAACAAAACATCGTTGATAGAGAAATATCCTCATCAATTTTATAATCGCCCTTGTGGGGTCATATCACACATAATATATTATTTCCATTACGTGAATATCAATATGTGTTCTCCTTAGAACATGTTCGCTTATGGAGTTCGTACTATTATGTAAGCACCGGTAACATACGACACTCGAGTGGAGCAAATTATGCATAATTTAATATGTAGTCTATTCGTGATTCATAATTTATTTTTGTGACCATGGGGTCTGTAAAAGTGTAAACGATTCGAAACATTAAAAATAAGTAAATTGAAAATATAATAAATGTCGCTTGACATAATTCATTACTTCCATCGCGTGGAAATCCATACATCAACGCAACGCAACATACCCGCTCATGGCTTGCGTACACACATAAGTATCGGCTATAAACTACTCTCTTAATAGACTATAAAGATCGAACATCGAATGTTGATGTACCCCGTTGGGAAGTGCAATGTACGTGGTTTTTAAGGTGTCGCATACTCCGAGGTCTTGGGTTCACCCCGGTGGGGCAAATCATTGTATGATAAAAACGAGCATCTGTGCCTAAGTTTTGGTTGTTAACAAATATGAATTCAAAATCTAATCTAATAAATTCTAATCTATGCATCATCATTATGCATTTCTAGGCGTTAGCCCATAACAAAGCCTTTCAATGCCCATTATAAGGCTAGGCTAATTGGTGTGAAGTGTTGACTCGATCACTACGGTTGTTCTACCGTAATATATAATACATTTCAAAAGAAAAAGGAATATCGACACAATTAATGTTTGAAAAAATTTAGTGCATGTAAGTTGATAAATTGGGAGCTCCATAAATAATTCTTAAATAAATTTAATGGTATCGCATGCCATTCAAAAGCTTGTTTATCTAAATCCAATATATATCAAACTCCAGTGCAGTACACTATAAATATGTAAAGAATTCTAAGTTTTCTGCAATTTAAGGACTATCTGCCAGATAAATAGAATATAACATATTTTCTCTTGAAAATAACAAAAGTAAACCAAATGGGTTGCTCACTCTTTTGATCGCGTAATGAGAGAAACTTGCAATATTAGAAATGTCGTGTATGTGGTGTCTGAGGTGGCCAACATGATCATTTTGATATATAAGTGGTGCTAGTTACTGAAGAAAGATTGCACGATCTACCAAATTCTTGAAAGGTTTTGAAGATCATTGTATGCAATTATCCCCTTTATGTTATTTTAGTAAAAATTACTGAAAACTGTTCTTAATATTAAACTTACGCTTTTTAACCTTCCCACGACTGTCTGGAATAAATATACTTCAAACCCTACGCATAGTACATGCACACTTCATGTAAATCTTATAAATAGCTAAATCTTTATTTAGTATTAAGTAATACATATAAATGACTCAGATCTAAGAACTGAAAAACAAAAGAAAAATTACAATCAATTATAGATTCCAGGATGGCAAATGAATTTCATAAAATCTGGTCTGAACTTCGTAATAGCATAATTTATCACGGCAACCCAGCAACAATATAAAAACTATACCAGAGAATTTCGTTGTAAAAACGTAAACTTCAGAAGTTGATCGGTTTCAACATTTTTGTCATTCCGTGGGGTTGTATCAACCACTCCCTACTTCTAACAATAATTATGAATTCACTGCAATCGACCTTGCAATCACTTCCCGCCAATCTAATATGAAAGCTTGGGAAGTATAGTTGAAGAACACGGCACGATATGCTAGCACTACGCTTTTCAACATATTCTACAAAGAGCGACAGCTCTGTCTTAAACAG